AACAACTTACTAAGATGTCACATTGGTTTCCATTTAGTTTCTTTAGTTTATATAGCATCTGAAAGGCAGCAAACTGAATAAAAAAAGGTATATCTTCGGTCTTATTTGTGCAACATTTTGAGGAACTCAGGAAGGTTGCTACTTTGTTTTATGAGCTCAAATTTCATCAGATATAATTCACCTCTTTACTTCAAAATTGATTTGTTTAACTGTTTTAGCAAGTTAAGGTCCCCTTCTCAGTTACTGGAGAAGCAAACGAGAGATGATTTTGGACAATAATATGATTGTCATTGAACAACATCAAGACTGCTTTCTAGCTCAAATTTAATCAAATAGATACTCAAATTTACCAGGAACTCCACATTTTTGACGTTGCAACAGTTGCTCTTGGTGTTTTCAATGAGACACTTCCCACTTGATCCATTTGAAACCACACTTCACTTAAAAGGTTCCCTAACATCTTCCTCATTGCTAATGTCAATTTATATGGATCTACCCTATTCTTTTTTCCATCCTTGAAGCCATCTTGTAATTTTAACTATTAACATGACAAGCAAATTTAAAATAACAATATTTCTGTCTAATCAATCATGAAGTAGATGATCTGGTACAAAAATATGGATGTGATACGACAAAATACACTGACACACAACAAAATCTGAAAACAAAACACTCAAAACATAATTGGCATGGCAAAAATGTCATGTTTGATGTGGTATCTGAGATAACATTATTACAAAATTGAAGTGTAGGTGCTTCCTAGCTAGCTAAAAGCAGATGAGGAATGACTTGTAGATTAGGTTGCATAGGTACGGATACGGGTATGGACACGGGTACGGGACACGGCTCATATATATATATAGAGAGAGAGAGAGAAAAACTTATGTCAACTTAAGTGGACGTCCACTAAGTTTCTTATCCATTGATGATTACTTGATTGAGCTACATTGTGGATGATCCGTTCCGTTGAACTAGATCTACATATTCTAAAACCCCAACACACCAAATTTGGGGTGAACCCGTCGTGGTTTGACCCTCCGTCGAGCCATATAAAAAATTCTATTCATTCGAAACCATTAAAATTGATACGAGTGGATGAAGGGTCAAACCACGACG